CAATTTCGACATGCCCAGTACGAGTACATTGCTGCCCGAGTACGAGTACCGTCATTTCGAGTACGAGTACTTTGACATTCGAGTGCGAGTGCGAGTACTCAAAAAAAGTACACAAGTAGTACTCGAGAGTACCGAGTACGAGTACTACAACACTGGGGAAATGTGGTGCACAGGCAATATCTATACAGAGTGAGTCGAAAAAAAGGAAACCCAAAATGGTAGGACCAATCTTTTAATGAAGTTCTGCATGTACGTAGTACTATCAGATTCTAGGATATGAAAGCCTAATTGATAAGCTTTCTTTTTGTACAAGAATCATTCAAATCGCTCATGTACTTTTCTCCAACCACCGTTTTAAATTTCTGTCTACGGATCACAAAAAAGGTAAGCGTACCTTCAGAAAAACGAAAACAATACATATGGGGATGAGTGCGAATTGCTTTCGGTTTGCTGAAAGAAAACACATTTTTTCAGTGATACATGGACAGAACTTTACAGATAGTGGATAGCAATGCCGGCAAGCTAACGTTAATACTAAAGGTTTGCCGGCGGCAATCCATATTACGGCGCTCCTTGAGTGCCATCCACTTTTTTATTTACTCAGATAAATTATCACGTCATGTTGACATATCACCGAGAGTAAGGCGACTTAATCACATAAAATGTATCGCCAAGTCGACTTACCGAAGTCGACTTGACGACTTGTCCTGATGTATCATCTTGCCAAGTCGACTTAATAAAGTCGACTTGGTGACTTGTCCAGATGCATTATCTCTCCAAGTCGACTTCCATAAGTTGACATGACGACTTGTCCAGATGTATTATTTCGTCAAGTCGACTTTCCGAAGTCGAGATTACGACTTGTCCAGATGAAATATCTCGCTAAGTCGTCTTCCTGAAGTCGAGATGACAACTAGTCGAGATGAATTATCTCGCCAAGTCGACTTACGATGTGGAGATGATGACATGCAAAAATCTCGTTCTGCATTGATATCCCGTTGTTGAATCACTGTCGTGGATTTTTTCATGTTCGTGGATTTTTTCTTGTTTTAAATTACAACCCCAAGGTTCGTAGGAAATCACACCTCTGCCTTGTTTTCCCCTATTTATCCCGTTGAAAAGTAATTCACTTCACGTTAAACATTAACAATCATAAATTCACAAAAATGTCTTTATTGACAGGTTGCCTAGAAATGACACTTACAAATTCAAGATTTGCTTTAAATCACATTGAGATCATATTTAAGATAAAACGACTCTCACGGCTTAAATTGGAATATCGGAAAATTAGCAAAACTCTTGTCTGATATATTACGAGAAATAATTTGATAACAATTCACTATAAAAGCTCTTATTGCCAACATTAAATCTGGGGCACTGAAGACAAAGACAAATTTGTGTTCATTTCAAGATTTTAAATGGGGAGCGCCGGGGGGAGGGCATTTGTTGCAGGACATTATATTTCTTTTACATTTCGTTCGGAAAAGAAAAATCGAAATTTTGAAAAAGCACGTATATAATTATACCAACAATAACCTTTCAAATTCCCAAAACTATACAATCATGCGTTGCATGTTCGTCAAGCTTAACTGCTTCTCCATAGATGATAATACCCAAACGCTTTGCATCAAAGCAACAATACCTTTTCAATGAAAACAACTCTAATGACATCATTAATTATCCGTCTTTGTGCCGCTTCATGTGTGTAAAGGAAATACACGAGCAGACGTTTTGCATTTTTTATGAACATCAACGAAAGAGACACAACCATTAGTTGCCTCTGCGCGCCGCATTTTGATCAATTTTCAGTCTCGGTGTCGTCGGGTATTAGTTTCTAGGAATGCTATTAAATAATTAAGAAATATCAAGTCCGTTTGCGAAAATAATTTACACTTTTCAAAATGTACCACAAACGTATTGACACTCAACTTTCCTTTAGTTCTACTTTTACATGTCTTTGTGTGTTGTCTCGACTAAACCACTGATGTCCCCTGTTCGATGCCCCATGAGTTTGTAAGCCAGATAAACACAATCTACAAAGAAATAAATTTGGTCGAATTTTTTGGTTTGTTGTTTTATATTTTGATAACATCGTAATGATGTAAATAGTTGATGACTTATTTTGAGGTAAAATTAAATCTTCTTGTGGCAATAAAAAAAGACAAGTCAAGCCTAGCCAAGCTTTTCCCAAATCATAAAAAATTATATTCAACTGGCTCCGAATGGCTATTCAATTGAGGCCTTTGCATGCACCTGTACTGTGTACACAATAGCCCATTCGTGAGACGTTACGGGGTAATCCTGTACAATAGTACTGCCCAGCGCCCCTACTCCGACACCCCGAGAAATTATACTGGTATTATACGCCTTTCCCCAAAATACGATGCTGGGTTAGGGGGTATTTGTACATCCCGTAAAAAATTGTTAATAATCGTCGGATTTGAAAAGCGACCGCTTTGAAAGCATGGTACGCCCCCCCCCCCCCCCCCCCACCATTGATTTTAAGGAGCTAAGTGTCCGGACAAAAAAACCTGTCTACATTTCAGCATTGATTTGCTGATGAACCCCCCCCCCCCCAACACAAATTCCTGGTTCCGCCCCGATTGTTGTGCATATACGGCAATTATTATCGTCTACAAGGTGATCCAAATGCAATCAAATTTGATACACAAATTTGATACAATGAAGTATGTCTAATAAGAGCATGTTCTTCCACTCATCTGAAAAAAAAAGCAATTACTGATATTGATCTATGCCAACAGAAGTTATGCATGTTTTACTTAAAGAAACTATTTTATAGCTGTCCTTGGAGTGCCATTGAGCGTAGTGATAATACACACAAGCATTCATTAAAATGAGATACATGTATTAATAATTGAAATCAAGACCATTGTTTTTACTGTCAGTTGTAATGGTTTGCATATGAGGAACAAGTCAACTCTTTTTCTTCTGAAATGTCGTTAGCGATATGAAAATCCTTTGCAAGTTCTCGTTCAATCATCGAGGTGGGAAAACGTCAATGTTTCATAATACTCAGTGTATAACCAGTTCGTAGAATTATCAGAGGTGGACAGCCGAGTTGTTTGTGATCTTTTTATTCAAATAGACATAACGTGAGATTTGTAGGTTTGCATGGTGGAAAGATACTAAGACAAGAAAAGTTTGCGATAGCAGCATGTGAATAACATTCTCCTGACGACGGGCAGAGCATACTGTTCGAAACTTTGAGTCCCTCGGTTCTTTTCAGAACCACACATACTCACAAAAGAGATTTATTCACATGGTGCTACCGCAAACTTTTCTTGTTTTAGACATAACGCGGGAATAAAATATGCAAATGACGTGAAATGTTCACAGTTAAAAGTCAATAAGATGTACCTTATCATTTTTTAATAATGAAATTGAGCAAGCCGAATATTTTTAAATATTTTCAAATTCAGTCATTTTCTTTTTTGACTCCCCTGCAAGGAGAAGCCGGTAGAAAGCCTTGCGAATCGGTATCGATTGAGCACCGCATGCATGGTTTTATACACGGTAGCCTCATCAGTAACCTGTACTCTGAAACCGACCACTCGCAAGGCGGTTTGCATCATGTCCTATTAGCCAATATATATTCGGCTTTTCCAAAAAGAGAGACTGACAACAACATTCCAAAGGGAAAACGTTCCTATTATAAAATATTCGGTAAGTCGACTTGGCGATACATTTAATGTGATTAAGTCGCCTTACTCTCGGTGATATGTCAACATGACGTGATAATTCATCTGAGTAAATAAAGAAGTGGATGGCACTCAAGGAGCGCCGTAATACGGATTGCCGCCGGCAAACCTTTAGTAAACGTTAGCTTGCCGGCATTGCTATCCACTATCTTTCAAGTTCTGTCCATGTATCACTGAAAAAATGTGTTTTCTTTCAGCAAACCGAAAGCAATTCGCACTCATCCCTATGTGAATTGTTTTTTAGTTTTGCTGAAGGAACGATTACCTTTTTTTGTGATCCGTAGACAGAAATTTAAAACGGTGGTTGGAGAAAAGTACATGAGCGATTTGAATTCTTGTACAAAAAGAAAGCTTATCAATTAGGCTTTCATATCCTAGAATCTAATAGTACTACGTACATGCAGAACTTCATTAAAAGATTGGTCCTACAATCTTGTGTTTCCTTTTTTTGACTCACTCTGTATAGATATTGCCTGTGCACCACATTTCTCCAGTGTTGTAGTACTCGTACTCGGTACTCTCGAGTACTACATGTACTTGTGTACTTTTTTTTTGAGTACTCGCACTTGCACTCGAATGACAAAGTACTCGTACTCGAAATGACGGTACTCGTACTCGGGCAGCAATGTACTCGTACTGGGCATGTCGAAATTGTACTCGATTATCAAAGTACTCGTACTGGAATACCTGCAGTACTCGGGGAAAATGGTATAGCTTGACTTACCACGGCCTTATTTTATCGATACTTTCAGTTTGCAACAGTTGATTGGCTTGCGTCGAAGTTTCCTAATTTTGTGATTTTCGGGTTGGGTCGGTAGGGTCGGTTAATTAGCCATTTGGAAAACCCCCGAAATAAACCGAAATACACCGAAACAGTTCGGAAATTCACATGGTGCAATATACATGTATATTGCAGAGTCACTGTGCCCGGTACGACCCGGTACGATCTGTTTCAGTTCGGATTCGGTTTATATCTACATGTATAATGTTTCGGGTCGGTTTGGCCTAGTCAACCCGACTCTGTGATGCACAGCAGCAACACTATAGTCAGATGGTGTCCAGCCGCCCTGACCCCCGGGCCCGCCCCCATTTCGAACTTCCAAGCTGCTGCCCATACCACTTGGCGAGGAGATCGCCTCCTTCGAACAGGGATTTCCACTCATCAGGAATTACATGGCCTTCCCACGTCGCATAGACGAAAGTACGCAAGACCGGTGGGATGTAAACGAACTGCTGAATCTTTACATCGGAATAAAATCGAATTTTTGTCCGGATATGTAGTAAGACTATCTTGTATAATAAAGTATTTATTACCGTGGTGTTGTTGGAAGTCTAAAAGGGAGTGGCATTATATCTATTTCGATGAAAAAAAGAAGCTCCCCGTCACTAAATTATTGATACTGAGTCGAGATACTTAAGTCCGTCTTAGAAAGTCATCTGATACTAACGCAGATGCATTTTGCTTGTTTCATGCCGTTGCCAATTGCGCTGCCGAATTCTGCGCCCAAATCGCTAGCGTAAAAAATTAAAGACCAAATAGATTGACACTGCGTTTTGCATAGGTACATGTACATGTTAAATACAAGTTAGATTTTGTATTCCTACACACAAAAAAGCAGTCAATCGGCACAATGAGGACGTACAAATATTAATCATCAGCAATTAGCGTCTAAATGACAAACATAAATGGATTGATACAAAAAACCCGCTTAAGACAAGGCCACACGCTAATACTGTTGGATTCCTTTAGGTCGGAAAACTAATGAATCCTTTTTTTTGGGGGGGGGGGTTATTAAATATTTAATTTTGCTGCACGTTGATCCCCTTTGGCTGCGTGGCCCTGGTGGCCAGGCTGTGATTTTTCCCAAACGACATCCGTTTCCCATCTTCTGAATGGTCCATTACATGCATATCTATGATACCTTGTTATGTTCTCCACAACACAAACCAAAGATAGGCTTTACGTCTTGTGAGAAATGTTCCTTCCTTACGTTAGTTATTTGTTAGGTATTAATGAGAAGTGAAAAACGCTCACTGGGGTTTGAACTAGACGACAGGACTACTTCCAACCAGCCCACAAATGAGCTGCATATCATCGGCATTATTCATTGTTGTATTCTATAAATCCTGGACATCGTGAATATGCATAACGCAGAGAGAGCGCCCTCTTTTGATAAAGTCGGATCTCGTTTTGGGAAAACATAATTCGTGGCCAGGCTGCTTCAATGCGCTGGCACTATTCTCCAGTCCAGAAAGTATATGGCTGTCCTTCACGCTTTGTACAAATCTTTCACGTATCTGCGAATCCATTCTTTGTCTTCCTCTTCTTTAGTGACGATCTCGCCTCCTTCGTACAGGAATTTCCACTCATCAGGAATCATCTGACAGCTCCACCTCGCGTGGGGAAACGTACGCAAAACCTGTCAACGAAAAATGAACCGAAATATTGAGTGTAAATGCTTTTGAAAAAAAAAAATGCTCTTCAACTCTTTTCTTTTTAAATACCATAAGAAAAATTGTTAAAGTCGTTTCATTATTTATTTACAATAGCAAGTATAGGCCCAACCTTTGGGAGACACTTTGGCGTCATAAGTTATACCTTAGGTAGACATTTCCTGTCTCCCTAATTCCACAGACCCTACTTAGAGGCAACATTTGACAGTCGCAAATAGGCTAGATCGATTGCTCGTGGTCCAATTAGTAAAAAAAAAAATACCGAAATTCGTGGGGGTAGGATAAGGTCAACTGGGGTCAGGGGTAATTAAAGTTTGGGGAAAATGTGTGCACAAGTCTATGCGAATGTCTCCCTAATACCCAATTATCGGTAATTGTTATTACTATTATTGTTATTTGGGGGCCGGGGGGACATATGTAAGTCTCCGGTGAAAAAAAAGCTGAAAGGGCAGTGGGAACCAGTCTGTCCTACGAGAACTGAATTGTTGGAGGGCCAACACTAATTTTGTGAGGCTGAGAGTGCTTAATGACTATTGTATTACTAGAAATAAAAGCAATTGAAATTAACAAAAATCGGGTAGGTGAAACTCGAAATTGCACGGACAATTCAGGGTGACCCATAACAAATGCAACCCTGAAACAGTTATCCACTTTTTCAAAAACATGAGAGCTTTTTCGTTCAAATACTGAAAAAAAATCATGAAGTCAGCACATTGGGTTGCTGAGAAAATGCCAATTATGTTAAAGAAGTGTGTTTTCTTCCTTTCCATAGGTGCTTCAAACATTAACAGTGAAACCTGTTACTGTAAGCCCGCTGTGCAATGGTATTGACTTTCATTTGTGCAATTTATTAAAAAATGTTCTCATTTTAATGATTCTGAAAAGGTTTAAAATAGATTTTTAAAAGATAAGATACCTGTTCATGTGGAAAATCAAAGGTATTTCCGTCAAATTCATTAGCACTCTCGTTATATCATGTGCCGTGTTGTTTGTAAGGTTTAGCGCACAATGCGCCACATGCATTTCATATCCAAATAGGTTCAGTGTGAACCCCTTTACTGTGGTAATGCCATTGGAATGGACCAAAAACGAGTTGTGTTTAATTGCCATTTTCTCAGCAACTTACTTTGCTGTCTTCATTGATTCGTTCAGTATTTGTAAAAAAAAACTCTCAGCTTTAATGTGCTATCCACACATAAAAAATCACAGATCACATTTTTTAATGTGGCAAATGTTTTAGAGTTGCATTTTTTTGGGAGTCACCCCATACAAAAGCACTGTCAATTTCCGCCCAAGTTACATACATTAGGAGCAATGACGGTCACTTGTTTGCATTCTTCAAACCCAAGACATCGATAATACTCCTCGTTGCTTTCAGAACGGACGCTGACATGGAGGTACCGACTTCCAAGGCAGTTCTTAGCGTAGTCTTCGATCAGTTCGTGGAGCTTCCTGCCAAGTCCTTGATTCCGTCTACTCCTCTTGATTGCCACTGAGAAAATGTACAAGAAATTAATTGTCCAGGCATTCCAAATAAAAGGACAAGTTTTCAGTCGTCACCCATTGCGACAAGGGAGAACATTGTCCCCATCGCCTTATCTCACTGGAGCGCTGGTCACTATACTGATCTTCTTCACAAATACTTGTAAGGATATGAAGATGTCGCAAGCGTAAAGCCCGGTTCATACTTCACGCGAAAGCGAAAGCGAAGCGAAATTCGTGACGTCAACAATACATTCGAAGCGCGTCCACCATTAATTGTTGACGACATGAATTTCGCTTCGCACAAGCTTTCGCGTGAAAGTATGAACCGGGCTTAAGAAGGTACACATCGGGAACATTCCGTACGCGCGTGTCACAGTTACAAGTATAGATGGCTAAATTAATCGAAGCCAAGTGCGTACCGTCTGTAGTTGTGTATAATTGCAATGACTTTTTCATAAGTTGATATCACCGAATGAAATAATAAAACCGTATTTAGCAAGATGAATACTTGACTTACATTATAAAGTCACATACGCTTTTTTGGCTGTAGTAACACCTCAAATATGATGAGAGGCAACATCCTCTCATCTTCTGGGATTCCACTGGTTGCTTTTAAACCGTACTTCACGTACAAATCTGGTATTCATTTTCAATAGCTTTTCAAATAACTAAGCGCCTGTTTTTCGTAAAATTTTGGATTTTGTATTTTGTTATTTTGTAATGGGTTTCCACGTCCACACACAGGGTCGGCTGGGAGGCTAAATGTGGGTTTATTGCTGCTGCTGCTGCTGCTGCTGCTGTTTTTTGCTGCTGCTGCTGCTGCTGCTGCTGCTGCTGCTTGTTGGGGTGTTTGTTTGTTTGTTTGTTTGTTTGTTTGTTTGGGTTTTTTTTGGGGGGGGGGGTGGTCGGGAGCCCAAAGGATACTCTTATCGATAGATAACGTCTGGGACCAAGACTAATGCAAGTGAAAAAAATGTAGGCTATCCCTTCTGCAAAAACCTCGTCCCCAGGACCGACTTTATTTTCGACCTCGATTCCATGCAATAGAAGCAGGTAGCAGGTGAGAGACGAGGTGGGAGTGTACTGCTCGCCTCGTCCCCAGGGGAACAAGGCTACCCGCTTCTCATTTACACGTACCTGACTCAATATACACACGCTGCTCACATTGTGGATGGACTTGTACGATTCTCACGTGGCCCAGCACTTCGCTTTTAGCGCCCTCTCGTGTTTCTATCAATACCAGTGAGCAGGGCAGACCTGTACATTTTGGCGTTTCAACCACTTGCAGTCTGGAGTTGAGGCAAAAAAAATAGAATCATTTTTTTTTTCATAAAAGGAGAGAAACGAGTCTTGATACCGCATTCAACAAAAGAAAGTCCCAGTTGAAACCGAAGGTGTCAGCTTGGTTCAATTAACAGTAGCATCATAAAATCATTTTAAAAAATAATCATACTAAACATACGGTGCTATCATAATAGCACCCTATACGTTCAACACGCATGCCTGTGTGACTGCAATCAGGCCCGGATTAGGTGTTCCGTAGGCATAGGCACAATTGTTTCGTAGGCTCTACTCCGCCCCAGGCACCGGCACCAAATTCAAAGTACAAACCATTGTACAAATCAAGCCAGACCAAACTGGTATAGGTCCTAGCTCTATAAGCAGCGGCAAAGGGCGTCAATCGCTTCTCAAAAGTGGGGGTGGTACATACAAAACAATTCAAAACCATGAAGGGCCCCGAAAACAAAATGGATTCTAGACGATCTGTCTTGCGATCTGAGGCAATTTCTGACTACTTTAACCAATATTTGTTTCAGCAATTCAGATCTTCATATATTTAAACATCATTTTCGAGTTTGGAGTCATTGAATCAGCTATTCTGAGCTATAGAATAAAAATGCAAAATGCATGTTACAATTTTGTTTATTCAGGAACGAAAATAGTTGGGGAGGGGTAACGTTATGTTCCCCCCCCCCCCCCCCCCATCGACCTTCATATGGTTGGCACCGCGCTTTACACGACATATACTTTACAAGTAAATTGTATAATTAGGGCCTACATGACGCCTATGTAGGCCTAACAAGAAAGTATTTATAATTGTGTTGACTGGCTATACACATTTGTTTTGTACTGATACAAGGCAAATATCCACACAGAGGGTTAAGGCTACCTTTGTTCTTATGCCTAAAATTGAAAACTTGGTCCCATGGTCAATTTGACCTCTCTTGGAAAAATTACTCATGACTGTCAAAAAATATCAGATTTTGACGTTTGATGTCACGTTGGAAGGGCGTATCTTTCAAACCATATCTATATTATCTACGTTGGTTACACATCCGACGTCTGACAATCCGTTTTATTTTGCTTGCATTTTGTTTGATTTATACACACTGTATTATGTCAAATACTTTGACCTCCACGCACTCAAACCACGGATTTTCGTTCTGTCATGCAGTTATGCACATATGTGTACCTGCTATGATACCGTACCTTTCTGCCAAGCACATTGGCCACTCTTCTTTGAGGAGTCTCACAGTGTCTTCAATCAAGTCTTGGCGGGAATGAAGAGGTTCCAAGGTGTACGATGTCATTGTGGTGTACATGTACCGCCTCTTAAACGTACCACGAAGTTAGAAACACAATTACTCATTCAGTACAAAATGGTCCAAAATCTTCAGCATATACGTGTGTATAATTATATGTACATGTACATGTATCCGTCGTTAAAAGCACTGAAGCGTAGATCAGTTCAAAGGTCGTTCCGTGTCCCAAAATATCGCAAATCCCCGTATCAAGCGAACAACAGAGGGAGAATTTGCGAGATGAGGCGCCCATTTTGGGGCGATATATAATGAGTTATAAGGAAAGTTGCATATGAATAATTATGCTGACCATGGGAAACTCCTGTGGATTTTCATCAATTGAACACAATGGAAATACATGGGACATTGGGAACACCATGGGACACCATGGGACACCATGGGACATTTTTGTGAGAATCTGTGTATTGGAGCCGGTAACTGAAGTGAGACAATACATATGTGAAACTGCAAGCTTCTGTCGAGACCCTTGTTTTTTTTGTTCTTCTGAATTTGCGTAACACTGCATCCCTTAGTGGCAGATCGACCGAGACCACCGACTTCCGCAACACAGACAGTTGGACAGCATGCATGGCCATCGATCCAAGCCGCATGGGTGGGACTAGAATGGTAGTCATTACCAAGGCCGTTGGTTCGAATTCAACGCTTGTCAATTCTCTGTGTCATCAAGGGGGGGGGGGTGGAGAGAGAGAGAAAGAGATGAGAGATGAGAGAGCAACATAATTTTTGGAAGATTCTTGGATGCCTACATGAATAGAAGAAAATTTCCTTATAAATAGAAGAAAATTGTGTTTTTTTCTACTGAGAAACTTTATTCCATATGATTATGAATATTGATGACACTCATACAGATTTCTCTATACTAAAGTTTAAAATGTAGTTCTTAACTAATACAAAACAAATCATACTGCTATAATGAACTTGAAGATACTTTACAAGTACAAGCATATAGGGAGACAGAACTTACAGATCCACCAGAATGTGAAGTGATTGCTCTGTCAGAGTTGCTCACTTCACATTGATTTGTGTATTAAATACATGTGGAGGGAAATCGGAAAATTGCAGACAGTTCGAATAAATTCTCATTTTCAATTTTGCGATTTACTCCATACCGCAAAGACTCAACAGGTCTATGCATGATTTGTGCACATTCAGATTACAATTGCTTTCTTTGTGTGTCCTGCACAGGTATGATGGTCATATAGTGGCATTCTTCTACCTAAGCAAAGTCTGAAAGTTACCAATCCAGTTCATTGCTAATCCTGCTCCAGGACCTGCAGTCGAATCTCGTTAGTACAAACTCTGTTAATACCAAATTCTGGTTATAACAAACATAAAGTCTTAGTCCCGACTGTGCATTTATATGAACAATGAATGGGACTGATGTTTTTTTTCTGATATAACAATTTGACTAGGTCCAAACGAGTTTGTATTAACGAGACTCGACTGTATTTCGAATTGCCGCTTTAAAAAAGGAATACACATTGAACTATATTCTTAGACTAACTATGGCTTAATCGTTTGTTTCTTTAGTATTGAAAGATCCATATTCATTTCAAAATCATCGGTATTTCAGTATGTCATACAATTTCCAACTGTATGCCTTCTGAACAAATCTTTTGATGCCTCTTTGAGGCCAACATATAGAAAACTTGTTTTCATATTCATTTCAACTTGAATCAGCGGTATTTTACTACAGTGTTGTTTTTATACAATTTCCAACTGTATGCCTTCTGAATAAACCTTTTATGCCTCTTTGAGGCCAAGATATAGCCAACTTGTTTTCATATTCATTTCAAAATCTGCGGTAATTTACTATTTCACACATTTCCAAGTTTGTATGCCTCTTTGAGGCCAAGTTGTAGAAAAAGTTTGTTTTCAACTGCCAATAAACCTTAGAGACAGATACAATGGTGAGACCATACAAGTATGCTGTGATAATGCGTCATGATACAAAAATATATATATTGTGATATCTTGCCAAGTTAACGAAACAAACGTGAACTATTTTAGGCACCACATGTGTGTCCGAACACATCTTGTAACTGTGTATACAAAATATAAACCGTTTGAATATGTACCTGAGATGAAAGCACCTTTGGCAATTTCCACACAAAAAATACAATCCAGTGCATAAAAACAGAATACAATGTACATTGTGTGTGGATACCTTCAAAATGAATAAAACAAATGCGTAATGCATGTCAAACAGCTGACCTACACATAACTATCGCAGATTCACAATGCATATATTTGCATGTGGTACTATGACCCAGTGGCACATGCAGGATTTGGCTTTAGGGGTGGGGGGGGGCCCTCACAATTCTTTTTCAATTTTTTTAGAAAAAAATGGCAGACCATTTTGACTTTGGTGGCGCTACTTACTAATACTACTCGAAAATAGGCCACATACATTATCACCAAGGTCAAATCGTGGGACTAACAAAAAATATTACAAAAAAAAGTAAATTAAAAAAATTGACTACCTCTGGGGCTCATCCCCCCCAGAGGACCCCCCCCCCCACACACACACACACACACACACACACCGACATTTTGGTGCGCCACTGCTGTGACCTCAGTAATGTGTGAGATTTTATTTTTCCTCCCCCCCCCCAAAAAAAAAAAAAAAAAAAAAGAAAGAGTATACACAAAACCCAGCTTATTGGTCCTATTACAGACTATTAAAAAAAACACCAGGGTAAATAGCATGAACTACAAAAGAAAAATGATTAAGGGCATGCGCACGAGCAAATACAAAATTACCAATACAAAAGAAACATAAAACAGATACACCTAAAATCAGACCTCCAGGTTTTTTTTAAGGACTGGATATGATAGAGGAGGAAAAATTGAAAAAAATGGCAAGAATGAAAATATACCTCGCTCAAAACCCGAAATTAAACCGAAGCAAAAAGAAACCCTGAAACGTAAAAAGGACGCATGAGAAAATCGACGGTCATAATAACCCAAGTAACAAAAATATTTTTAAAAGCCGTTTATACGGCCTCTCTAGAAGTGACATATCAATCCACTGTATGTGGCTAACATACGGAGCTGCTACAGCCAATTTGCCAATTTTGTTGGGTACTATTTTGCAGCCCCCATGTATTTCAGAGGCTAATTAACACTGTACTTTTGTGTTTGTTTGTTTCTTGTGACAATGCCACGGCTTCCCACCTCTAGGCAGATAAGTTGACAGCCGAAATGTCATGTCGCTAATTGACTTTTATCGCACTAAGCTACCTATCAGTAAAATCGCTGGATGTGTCAAAATGCTAAAACCATATTTTCTCAATACTACCAAAGTGTTGACATTATCACCAATCACATAAACATCCTTGATGCAACAGTCAGATTGATTACCAAAATATACATATACAGTGTACATCTGTCAATGAAAGTCTTACCAAAAAAGTCACCTGCATCAGTTTGAAACTGAAAGGCACAAACTACTTTGACACACATGTATTGCTTTCCAATACCTATCCACATAACATGTACATCTCTGAATTGTTGTATGAGTTGAATCAATGTGTCAATATAATTTATACATAGATTTTCTTTTTAAAAATTGTTAAAACTTCCTAATCACAAGTAGATTTCAGTAGACTTCAGGACTGTGGCATGCTAGTGCCTTTAAATAATAATACATGTAATAGTACTGAGTATTGAATCCCTGAGTGGTTCACCTGCCTAAAAAGTGAATTTCTGAGTAACACCCTTGAACAAGTAAGTAAGTAAAGTCTGTCGCGAGCCAATGTGGCTCATCAGGCCGGCGTTCATCTCCGGTTTCAGTAGCATGAAACGACTGAGAATATTTCTACTCCCCCTGGATGGGATGCTAGTCCATCGCAGGTTACTCCCCAGCTAATGCCAGTACCCATTTATACTCCTGGGTGGAGAGGGACAAGTGGGGGTGAAGTGCCTTGCCCAAGGACACAATATATGACCAGCGGCTGGATTCGAACCCCGGACCCTCTGATCATGAGTCAAGAACCCTAACCACTACGCCACACACTCCCCCTACCCTTGAACAAAGAAATTGAAAAAAGTGGGAAGCCACCAACATACATGTAGGGCTGAAAAGCTCAGACAGACAAGCGCTGGTACAGGTAACCTGGATGTCGCAGTTTTAAATCCTGCTCCAGTCAATTCCTTTGTTCAACTTTATAAAATAAAAGTTCATAACTCAAAAAGCAATTAAAAGAACTACCACCAAAGTGTAAATACTAATTAAGAAAGTGTATAAAAAAACACCAAATATTTTACATTAAGTGGGTAAAGAAAACACCATGGCCCAATTTCATGGATCTGTTAAACATGAAATTCTGCGCTTACAATATCCTTGATTAATAGATGCATACATGCACAATATCCCAAAATGTCTGGCTTACGCTTGAAATAGTGGGCATCTACTTGACAAGCAGTGCTTTTGGGGAATCCCCACCCACCTTTACTCCTCTCCAATTTGTTGTGATAGTAATTATTGTTGACATCGCTATCATATCTTGTAATGTGGAAATCATGTAAGGTAAACTTGGTTTTTTTTTATTGGTTTGCAGAAAGTCTTTGCTTATAATGTGCAGAGCTACGAAATTTACCCACGTCACTATTCCTTCATAACTTCATTGGACCTCTCACTGTTACGGCTTGTTCACGAATTTGATATCACGAACAAACCAAACTAAAGCGGAAATGTGTTCCAAATGCTAAAACGCATTCAAAATTCAAGTTTGCACCGAGTATGAACCGGCCTTTCTTGCCTAAAGCCCGAGTAGTGAAGTGCACATTGCAATCAGAAGTCCGAGAGTCTCAAGTCAAGTCACAACTTACTCAAATGTATAAAGGCTTTCCTTTGCCCAGGGCAAAGGAAAGCCTTTGTTCACCTCCTGTTTGTGACCTCCATGGACCGATCCAGTAAGCCCCTCCCACTGTGCGCATGGGCAAATTAACAAGTGCTCCTCTCCAATGCCACACTGCATTTTCCTGCCGCGCGCATCATACGCGCGTGCACGCATATCGGACTTTTGTGCACGCATGTCGGACATAAATCACGGCTGTGATTGGTCAGAATACCATGGGGTGGTGCTTACTGGATCGGTCCATTGTGATGGACTACTGACTTCACCCATAAAAAATTTGTATCCTTGTGGAGTCATTTCTTTGTTCTCGTGTACTTAAGTTTTCGAGTTTGAAAGTGCACTTTCAAAATGCTCTGTTTTTAACCAGAATTAATTTCCTGGGCTGAAATTCGGACTAAATATCCCTTACATAAAATACTTCAATTTGCGACGGATCAACACACCTCGGATATTCCTAGTTTTTGAGTAAAATCCATATATCTACATTTGTGTGTATTTCGTGATAACTTTGTGGAGACGTATTCAACAATAGAAATTGCTCTGGGGAGACATATATATACAATCTTTTGTTCCCTATCGTGCACATGTCTCCACAGGGTACCGTGTGCCAGATCACTCGTGCTGAACTTGAGCTTGACCTGTGACTCTGTGACTCTCAGGACCAGTTCATGCTCGGCGCAAACATGCATGGAAATTTGTGAGGTCATTTCAATTGAGTTGAAATGAGTTGAACGAGTCAAATTGAGTTGAACACATTTCAACTCGGGAGAATATTGCTGCAATTGTTATGTGACGTCAAATTCACTTCACATTTGAATAAAAGGCGAGGCATGAGCCAGCCTTATACATGACTTTATAGTGAGTGATAAATCCTCCGTGTATTTTAGGCGGGACATTTAGCCAGGTCCGTTTCGGGCCCGTCCACTTGGAATCTCCCCATCAACACATTGGAGTTCATCCGCCCACCAGTACTTGGGCCTGGCTGCTGACCGCCGGCAAACACATCAAAGCGTCCCGGCTGAAGGACCAGGCGGTCAGTGTAGGCCGCTCTCACACGGGCCGGAATGGACAAAATGACCGTTGTAGTCTGAAGTGTGGTGATGCTGATGCGTTTGAAGGCTGCCAACTGGATCTTGGGCACTGGGACGGTCGCGTCCAGCCACTGAATGTAGACTTGGACCACCTACAAAATGCAAAAGATCCCTTGGGTAAAACGAATGATTAGGAGGATCAAAGCAGACTTTCCTCTTGAGGTATGTTTAATGCTTGGTCCTTTTGGGGGGGGGGGATCCTACTGTTATTCAATGCTGGGAAGGTAACAGACTCGCTGTGGAGATGTACTTGAAAGCCTGGTGTTTATTCATTCGAGAGCTGTGTCCACACGGTGATTTTGGAAGAAAATCTTATCCCTCCTACATGTAATGCACACTAAGAGAGTTTGCAGGCCATTTTGCATAGCTTAGCGATATTCTGTACATGTACAATGTTGAATTCAAAGTCTACAGCAGTGGCTATTACCAGTATGTTGGATTTTAATGGTACCCTATGTTACCTAAAAGTGTTGAAACATTATTTGCAACCAAAATATTGTCTCCCTGTCAAAGCAGTTTAATATTGCTTTTAACATGCTTAAATTTAGTCAATGTTAAATTCTAGACCACCATTGGAGCTTGTAAATTTTTTGAATCTAACAAATTTGGAAACAAAATTCCTTACCGGTACCTGCCTCAAATTGTTTGGTTATTTGAAACTTTCCCACCATTTTTAACCTACATGTATTCAATAAACATACATTGTGTGATATTAAAAAACAACAACTAAATTTCCAGCTCATCAGGGGACAATGGTGCATAAATTTTCCACCTTCAAACAAAATTTCGGAGACGGATACATGTATATATAGTGGCAATTTCACAACCAGCTAAAGCATTTAAAATTGAACACTCGTGACAGGGAACCTCCATGCCACTTTATCATTAATCTCTTCAAGATTCATAGCTATGCTAATTTCATCAAAAAGCATGCAAAGGCTTTTACAAAGTGCATGTAATCCAAGACATTGTCATTAAACCTACCTCCTCTCCTGAGTATGCTCCCACATTTTTCAGAGTCACATTAACGAAAACGTCATTACACGGAGAGATGCTGACAGGTTCCACGACAAACTTCAAGTACTCAAACTTGGTATAGGAGAGTCCGTAACCAAACTGATAGAGCGGTGTTCCACTGAAGTAACGATAGGTGCGGTTCACCATGGAGTAGTTTATCATTGGGGGTACCTGATGATAGCCGAAAAAGATAATGCAGTGTGAGTTTCTATTAAAACAAGCAGTACGTGTTATAGTAGAATCCAAGTCCGAGTCAAAAAAATCAATGGGTCGGTTGGCTGCTTCAATGTAAAATTTACATCCCCCGACACTCGGTTTTAATTTCAAACTAGTAGTGTCATAGTTGATTTACTTGACTTGAGTCTGAGACCAAATCTCAAGTAATTTGGTTCAGGTCCGAGCTCGAGTCTGAGTCACGACTTCTTTGCGAGTAACCTCCACTAGAAACCTCTGAGAGAAAACAGTCAATTTAACTGTAAACTGGCCAGTCCTCTCATCTTTATCTTAATCCTTTGTCCAAACAGTGGCTTTATAATCCCTAACACTTACACCGCGTTCCCACTTGAATTGGAAAAAGGTGGATCAAGATCCGGCATTTTGGTGTGATCGTTATCTTACCGCAACGAAACCGCAAGTCGCGTTCCCACTTATGCTTGATCCACCTTTTCGTATGGAAATGTTGGGTCCGAAAGGTCACTGAGTTCGGAATAACGCGCGCTCTGTGGGAATGCCATTGTTGCATGGTTGCATGCTAGGCCAGGATGGGTCAGTTTTCAAACAGCACTATCAGAATTCACAGACAAAAAATTACGCGAATTCACCAACATAAATCACGGATCCGTAGAGGATCCGTGCGTGCATAAATTAACAGGTGAAATCCAACAGAGCCGCTCATTGTGTGACATCACGGCAGAAACCAATGCATCGATAAGGGATTCCCAGGTTCTGAAGCTTCTCATTGGTCACATGATGTACTACGACATCATTTTCCAATTTTCTATAATCAATACTTCAGATTTGTCACCTCCGTACGTACCGCGTTATCGGCACTATTCTCATCGCATACTTGGCTTTTCCATGATTCTGTGCCAAAGTGAAGTCTTTTGGTGAGTGCGGACTCAGAGTCATTTATGGATGGAAAAATAAGTAAAATTTCAGGAATGAAAAAGGTTTAGTAATGGACGAACACGCAACAAAAATAAGGCCTATAGTGTAGTTTTAGGATACCACGTGCGCTTTTGCATGCGCGGTGCTAGCCCGTAGTTCAGCGGTTGTTTATTGTGCATGTTGTTTACGCTGGAAATGTTCACATGAGCTACACGCCTGAAAACGTGTTTCTTCGTTCATGAGACCGCAACATTTTCGCGCCACTCGTGCACCGGGCGGATGTTAACAGGTCAAATTGCCGGATCAGATCCACCTTTTGCGTTCCCATCTGATCGTGATCCGGCAATTGCCGGATCTGATCCACCAATTGGGGGATCTGTATCCTGGTCCAGAGGTGGATCAGAAAAGGTGGATCTGATCCTGATCCACCTTATAACGGTTAGCGTTCCCACTACACACAATTGCCGGATCTGATCCACCAATTGGGGGATCTGATCCAGGAATTTGGCAAAAGGTGGATCAGATCCCCCAATTGGTGGATCAAGTGGGAACGGGGTCTAAAGCGCACGTGGTATCCTAAAACTACACTAGGCCTTATTTTTGTTGCGTGTTCGTCCATTACTAAACCTTTTTCATTCCTGAAATTTTACTTATTTTTCCATCCATAAATGACTCTGAGTCCGCACTCACCAAAAGACTTCACTTTGGCACAGAATCATGGAAAAGCTTACGAGTATGCGATGAGAATAGTGCCGATAACGCGATACGTACGGAGGTGACAAATCTGAAGTATTGATTACAGAAAATTGGAAAATGATGTCGTAGTACATCATGTGATCGTTTCTAACCAATGAGAAGCTTCAGAACCATGCATTGGTTTCTGCCGTGATGTCACACAATGAGCGGCTCTGTTGGATTTCCCCTCGTTAATTTATGCACGCACGGAAATACGGATCCGTGATTTATGTTGGTGAATTCGCGTAATTTTTGTCGGTGAATTCTGATAGAGCTGTTTGAAAACTGACCCATCCTGGCCTAGCATGCAACCATGCAACAATGGCACTCCCACAGAGCGCGCGTAATTCCGAACTCAGTGACCTTTCGGACCCGACATTTCCGTACGAAAAGGTGGATCAAGCATAAGTGGGAACGCGTCTTGCGGTTTCGTTGCGGTAAGATAACGATCACATCAAAATGCCGGATCTTGATCCACCTTTTCCCAATTCAAGTGGGAACGCGGTGAAAGTGTAATAAAGCCACATGTGCTGTCACACAGCTGATATTGACATGTGCAGGGGATTAGCAGCAGTATCTGAAAACAGGGGCCAGATTGTTGACAAAGGGATTAACAAGATAAGAGTGTACAGCCAGAAGTACTATATTCTTTCTGAGTTTACAGGCCATAACTGGGAAAGCTGCTAGAAGCACTTACACCTGATGTGCAGGAAAAAACTTATCTGAATTATGTTTTTAAAAGCTAATTTTGAGTAAAAAAGTGACTCAAGACAAAAAGCAGTCGAAAAGTCGGTCAAGGGTTCGAGTCTCACCGAAGGATTCTCCATTACAACTCTTGGAAGCACTGATCATAGTGCTTATAAAACCTGAGTTACTGTAGGGTAAAAAGAAATAAGTAAAAAAGGGGAATAACTAGAAGTATTGCTTCCACATTACCTGGTCCATGGATGCAGGCCATGTGTAGGGAAGCCTTCCTGCTGGGTTGTTGACACCAAGGTAGTTGGTAAACATGTTTCTGATGGCCACACCAGTAGCTTGGGCTGGAAAGAAGCACTGTACGATCACCTGGACAGCGGTGTTGTTGATGGCCCAGGAGATGTCAAATGGTCCGGCAGTGAAGAGCAGCAAGACAACTGGCTTACCATTGGCTGGAGATAAGGGTAGAAATGAAGAAGGACATCAGCCATCCAACTAATCACAATGAGGACAACATTGCTGAGGCAAGGCAACATGACAATTTTTGTCCTAATTTCAATAATAGGTTTTGCCCTTCAATGACCTTTTAACACTGCATACTCAGTGTGCTACCCGCCAAGTGAAAGTGAAAAAAAATCACTCGGGTGGGACTCGAACCAAAGACCTCCTGCTTTCTAGTGCAGACGTCTTACCACTCGATCATAGAGCTTTAGGATCAGCTGGCTGGTTCGAATCTGATGTAGCAGCGAGTACCGCAATGAAACTATTCATAAGATGGAATTTCCGTCGGGGTGATGTAAATTCAATATTAGGCTTTGCCCTTCACCAACATATAAACACTGTATACTCAATGTGGTCCCCCCCCCCCCCCCCCCAAGTGAAAATGAGAAAAAATCACTCGGGTGGGACTCGAACCCATGGCCTTCTGCTTTTTAAAGTGCAGACGTCTTACTCCACCATCGAGCTTGCCAGGATCAAATAGCTGATCAAATAACGATCAAATCGCAAGGAAACTATTCATAAGATAGAATTTGGGTCAGGGTGATATAAATTCAATAATAGGTTTTGCCTATCACCGACGTTTAAACACTATAAAAGTGTGTTACACCCGAGTGAAAGTGAGAAAATATATCACTCGGGTGAGACTCAAACCCATGACCTCCTGCTTTCTTGTGCAGACTCGACCACTGAGCTTGCCGGGATCAGCTGGCCGGTTCGATTGTTTGCAGTGGCCAATACAAACAAAACTACATGATTATTTTGATTATTTTTCAATCATGTGAACACATTTCATTGCACAAAACAAAGTGCAATGGTGACAACATTGAAAGCCTTAATAAGTTACATTACGAATCAACAACTACATGTAGTTGATCATCAATGGTCTATGAAGGAACTTCCTTGTAATGGGAATCTTACCAGCTTTGACAGCATCCTGCAGAAGTTGTAGTTGGCTGCCGGGCAGGGCGAGGTCTTTCCTGTCTCTACCCTCACTCTCCACCGTCACACCTGAAATAAACAATAACAATTTGGGAGGCTAATCATCCTTACTCGCAGCTGGTATGCTGAATTGCGAAGGACGCGGCTACAACGTCGTCGGGCCGCTGGCACGTAATTGCGCCTATGGCTGCTGGCCACATCGACCCATATATGACCACGGAGCACAGCCTGAGATCGAAAGTGTTTGATTTTTCCGGAGGGAGGAAAACCAGAGGGCCCGGAGAAAAACCCTCGTGGCACAGGAGAGAACCAACGCACAACTCTACTCGCATGCGATCCGCGGCCAGGATTCGAACCGTGATCACCTTGGTGAGAGGCGAGCACTTTACGCACAAGCCACCCATGCCACCCAATAACAACCAATGGTATCCAATGATTTACAGTTCACAGCGTACTCATAGTGTGGTAAATCAAAGTAGCGGTGTACATTGGAACCGGGTACCCAAGTACCTGACCGCTGATGTCGGGAACTGGTTCAAGCTTTTGGGATCGGGTACCCGTATTCAAACATTGCAAATAAGTGACTTCTCAGACAATGAATAAGAAAGGTTTGGAATGTCGTTGGTGAGGAATTTTCAAAATGAAAACCAGGCAACAACAATGTGCATGGAAAATTATAACAGATGTCATGTTTATTTCCATTTTAATGTGCCACAGATGACACTCACAAAAGTTGCAGTCACACAGTAAAGCTAAAACCATTCAGACACTACCAGTATAAGACCGTTTTTAATTCAATTGGTACCTGGATACCCGTGTTTTACATCAATAGGGTACTGTAGTCTCAAAACTCATGAGAAAAACCAATATACATGTACTGCTGATTTCGTTTTTAAATCACAAGGCAAATAGCCACTTACACATGTACCGGTACATATAAATGTAAAGATAAAGAGCTTTACATGTCTGTACTAAAATGCTCCTTTTTTTCATGGCCTAAACTGAAAGCATCCATGGCCAGGGACCCATAAAAGATTGTGTTCATCGATGAACAAGACAGGGCAAGCTTAGTAAAACTGGCCACAGACTGCACACCATTCTCATCAACTGTTTCAGAATGGCTATCACTGGAAACTTCTTTTCATGCATCTGGTGTGCCCAATTGGCCAAACTAACTTAACTATAAAGCCAGAATCGCTGGTGTTACAGGGTAATCCTACATGTATATGTTAGCACAAGTAGGTGTGTTCTTGGGCAAGACACTTCACTACAATTGCCTCTCTCCACCCAGGAGTATAAATGGGTAACTGTGTCGGTAGAGACTAGAATGAGCTCATCTCAGGCTGTCATGGCTGTGGCCACACATCTCATGGCCTGATGAACACGGTAACAATTGTGAAGCACTCGAGACCTTTTGTATAAGCGCTACATAGCACCACATTATAATTATTATCATAACCAGTAAGATGACTATCGGTATATCTCTACTCCCCTATTACAGTCGACTCTCGTTAGTACAAACTCTGTTAATACAAAATTCTGGTTATAACAAACATAAAGCCTTGGTCCCGACTGTGCATTTATGTGCACAATGAATGGGTCTGAATTTCCTCTTAATACAAAATTCTGATATAACAAACAATTTGGCTACGTCCGAATGACTTTGTTATAACAAAACTCGACTGTATAGGTTTTTAAAATAGAATTGGTGTCAGGAAATGTAAATTTTCTTTTCTATATTTAAAAGCAGAGTAAATCATCTGCAGTTACCCCAAAAGTAACTGACAAAATTATTGTTCAGAAGCATACTTGGTTTAAAAATGGTAATGGTACTAAACTCTGCGAAATAATTCTTTCTGGCATGCTGTCATGTTGAAGAAAACAAGAAAAGAAGGCATTTTTCAACGACGCATTTAAAGACACATTTTGGAAATTGTCCATAAGTAGTTCGTTTTTAATTCGGCAAAGCCGTAATGAGTGCACGCAAGCGTTGACATGATGCAGACGCACACCAGGCACAGTTGCTATTATTCGTCAGTTCTGTGCGTGACATCACGAAGCTGCAATCGATTGAATGAGAACGTGTCCTGGATGCTGATTTCGAGCGCAATTCAAAACATGACTTGGCAACTTTTGAATTGAAATCGAGATCCTAGAATATTGTTTTCTCGGAATATACAGCATTCACTGCGCTGAGACTTCATCAGGTAGTTGTTAAGCACTATTGTTGCTTCAAACGAAACAAATGCACAAATGACAAATGATGTACTCCACCTAAACACTGTATACTCATTGTTGTCCCGAGGGCTTGCAAGAAAACAATTCGCAAGCTTACTCGGGTTGGACTTGAACCCACAACCTTCTGCTTAATAGTGCAGACTTCCTATCACTCGACCATCGAGCTTGCTGGGGTCGGCTGGCTGGATACTGCAACCAGACATTTTATAAGACGGAATTTGCATCGGGAAATTTATATAAATCTTATATTGGTTTTGCCGACATAACTGTGATTTTTTTGTTCTTGTGGGCCTTGGGACAACACTGAGATTACAGGTTTTTATAAACTACATTGGCAAAGGGCAAAAGGCTAAGAGACAAGATTAACAAAAGGTTAATCTCCTTGATTCTGCTATATAATTTAGTTTCTCACCTGAACCCAGACAGACGACGACAAAATCAGAGCCGTTTATTGCCTGAACAACACTGGACTGGTTGTACAGCGCACACGCACAAACAGGGTTGTTACATCCTGCAGCAAAGCGAGTTTCATTGGCCAAGGGTTGCAGGCCAGCCAGTGGTGTGGTGACGTATTTTGGCAACGGTGTGCCTGCATAGTCCCCAAACAACTGACCGGAGTCATTTCCAAACGGACCAACAATCTACGACCAAGCAAACAGTACCACTACATGAGTGCATTAAATTGTTTGAAAAAGAGGGAGCGTTTTAAAAGAAATCTATTTGTTCAATGAAGGTGCTACCAGTATTTAGGACTTGTGATGACCTGCGAGGACTTACGAGATCTAGTGAGGACTTTGACTGCAACGTGTTCTTTTAAACACTTACCGCAAGCTTCAAAATACTTTTCACTGGTAGTATGCCATCGTTCTTCAGCAAGACAAAGCTCTTGACAGCAGCTTCTATGGCAAGATTCTGGTGTGCAATGCTTTCAACTACATCCTCGGCACGCAGCTTGGTGTAAGGGTTTCTGGCTGGTGGGTCAAACTCCCCAAGCCTCATTCGGGTGTAGAACAATGGACGCACCAATGCCACCACGTCATCGTACGACACCATCTTCTTTAACACTGCCTCTGTGATGTAGGTATAGACGTTAGCTGTCACTGATGCGAGGTCCAGATTGACTCCAGCCTTGACGCACACTGCGGCAGTCTCAAGAGGTGTAGACGTGTATTTGTGCGCAGCGTAAACTGCTCTCAGTGCACCCGCATCACTAACAACGTACCCCTGAAAGCCAAATTGGTCGCGGAGGATGTCTCGCAGGAATCTTGTGTTGGCACAAGCTGGTACTCCGTTGATGCTACATGTACATAAGATGTAATTAAAACAAAAATTAAAAGTGAACAAAACTGCTGGAAACTGCCGTCTGAATGGAGATGACCTCAAGCACGCAAACCAAAACAGTTTGAGCAGCTGACAATTCAATCTCAGCAGGATGTTTCTCAAGGGATTTATCGCTGACCACAACCTCAGGTAAAATCAGCTGTTAAAAAAATTAATTAAGAAGAAAAACAGTCTCCAAGGCCAAAAAAAAAAAGTCTCCGGTTTCTGGTATGCGCGCGCGTCGCCGTAGCCATGCGCGTCGGCAAAATGAAAAAGTTTTTTTTTCAATACAAGATGATGTTTCAAAACCGCCAACTTCACTGGTTTGACTGGAATTCTGCTGCTGCACAATTTTAACGTGTTTTTAGATGGGGTTATGATCGAGAATAAGATTTATGTGGCCTCTCTGGACTCCCATATATTTGCACTAAGTTTAGTCGGGGCTGTCGGGCACCATTTGCAGTCATCAGCCGACATTTGAAGCCCAAAAGAAAAAAAAAAAAACAGGTAAAAAAAAAAAAAAAGCCGCGTCGCCGCACCACTTTTGGGGCAAGCTCCATACCAGAAACCGGAGACTTTTTTTTGTGGCCTAACCAACTTCATTAACGTTTACACTTGCATCGGTATATGCAAGCATCTACATGTACTCATGATTAATAAAGTAAATTAAAAGTACCAACTAATTTTTCACAACATTCTCCAGCATGTCCAGAGAACTGATAATGGCATCGGTATTTATCAGAAGTGAGAAAACCACTAGACTACTGACCAGTGTAATTAAATCACAGAAAGAATGTACACAGAATCACTATCTGTGCAGTTGCCTAATGAATACATGCACATTTGTATGTATGCGCACATGTATTCATAGCCCGCACTGTGTAAAATAACACATAATTCAATGAATGAGTAGGCCTACATGTGTGTATTTTTTTGTAACAAATAACAAGTACCTGTTGTAACTGCACATGATGCTGTAGCTACCAGCTTTGACGCACTCATGAAACTGAGGTAGAAAGGTCATGAAGAGGTCACGGTCTGATACCTGGACAAGGTGAAAAATGCCGGAAAAAAATTGACTTCTCTGGGTTCTTCATAATGTTCAGAAAATCTGTGCTACTAATTAAACATAACAAGTAGGAAGTTACACTTGTGCACATGCATGCATCTGGTACAGGTCTACTGGTACGTGTATGATTTCGGTCAGCTATATGTATTGTATGGTGTCCCAGCTAGTGCACGCCATCAAAGTAATCACATTAAATTACATCTCGCGAGATGCGAGATGCGAGACACAAGATGCGAGACGGGAGATGCGACGAGACGCGAGACACGAGACGCGAGACACGAGACGCGAGATGCGAGAAGCAAGACGCGAGATGCGAGATGCGAGATGCCAGACACGAGACGCGAGATTTTGATGGCGAGATGCGAGATTTTGAAGGCGAGATGCGAGATGCGAGATTTTGAAGACGAGACGCGAGATGCGAGACGCCAGATTTGGGACACCATAGTATGTATCGTAGGAAAGGTGATCAAAGCATTTTGTGGGAACTACAGCCCAAGGGCACTGCATGTTTAAGCTGTGACATGTGACACTTTTGTATTACCTACATGTAGTACTTTAACCCTTACCCTACCAGACCCTCCAACGCATGCCAATATGTGCCTCAAGAAAATCTCCTATGTTTTTTGCATGGCCCTCCAATATCTGCCATGTCATTTCAAGGGTAACTGGACAGGCACTCCAATACATGCCACAGAGAACAATGAGAGTCCTCTGATAACAAAGTGAGTGCCCCCAGCTGGTCAGTATCAGGCACCCTCCAGGGCCTCCAACTCCTGCCAATTGGAGCCTTCACTGTTAAATAAAACTATCTGCCAATAAACTGCAGCTGGAGGGCATTGGCATAACCAACTGACATGCAGTAAACTACCCTCAGAGAGTAAGGGTTAAATTCAAACAAACCCTGCTTTATCGCATATATTGTACCATGGTCCACATCCTCCACTCTCCTCGTATCGCACTATTCCATGATGATGCACGTGCCATTCCTGAGTGCACGTGTGGATGTATAACTGCTAAAAAATTCCTGTACAGTGTGTGCCTGTTCCATTTTTACTGTGAGTCAAGTTTACTTGAAGATAAATTTGTTATCCCACTTGCGCTCATGGAACATGGAAAATGTATTGTGTCTGTGTCCCATATGTGGGACACAGACGTAATGCATAATTATTCCATGTTCTACTCACACTCCAGGATAACTAATAGTATGTATACAGGTAGAGTACGCATATCACTTATTCATATTGACAATGTAGTCGAGACGTCAAATTCTGAGACCAAGACCAATTAAATCCAAGACTAGGACGATAAGAGGCCAAAGCAAGTTCACTACGGATCCATCAATAATACAAAAATAATACATGTACAACATTCCGTACATACTCACTTTGAATTGCACTTGTTGGCTTATCCTTTGGAACACTTTTCTTCGTTTAATGATTTACTCTTTTCAGCAGTATTCTTTTTCATGAATTATGTCACTTTTATATGAACAGAATGTTGTAAAATTTGTTTGTCATCACCGTGAAAGACGGTAAAAGCCACAATGTGGATAAATGTCTTTACTGACAGATCCCGATCTCAATAAAGGCCTGTTGTTACTTGACCATGCTAAAAATGTCTTGAGGAAAACTTAAAGATGAAACAAAAACCGGAAAAGTGAGAGATCATTTAAATGTACCGGTTTGAGTTGTTTTACAACGTGAGGTAATCTAGTGTAAAGTTCAACTAACAAGCACAGTCTGCGGTAATTCTTTATTAGGCCCAAAAAAATTAATAATACATGTAGTTCTGCTTACAGTGGCAGATATTTTTTTTTTTTGGCCTATTTTCATTTTGAAAGTGTAATCTACCAATGGATCCTTCGGCATCAAGCTACTGCAGTGTGATTCGGCAAACTGCCCAATTCACATTGAAAAGGGAATAGCAGGGCACCGATGCAGGTCAGTGAACATAAAAGGATTTCACAAATACAGAAAGTACTTGCACACACAAAAACCAGTATGAACGTGTACAATGTACCGTAGGCCTACTGTGCATTTACACTGATCATAGTAAATATTGACTGCTTCTTGTGAAGTAGTAAAACTAGCCTCCTGAGGTGATCCATGAAGCATTCCACTCAAAATGCAATCAAATCAACCAAACTGCATGAAATTATGGCACACATCACATGATTCACATTACACCATCAAAATCAAACTTAAGTGTGCGTTTATGAGAAGACCATGCAAAATCCTGAAAAATCGACAAGGTGGGGGGTCAGCGAATTAAGTTCAAATCTTGGCCATTTGATCCCCACCTGAGACGATACCACTCGGTGGAGTAGCTCGATAAATAATCACACGGTGGCCGAGTACGGGGCACCAACAATTTTGAGCAAAAAGGGTGACTTCCGGGGAGTAAATTTGTGTTGTTTCTGGTGTAAAGTTATAGCCTCGTTTATACCCTTAAACTAAATCGTTTACTGTCGACCTACATATCAAAAGAAAGGGTTTAATCTCCTCTAAACGATGAAATATAAATCTTTGATATGCAAGCATTCACTGCGGAGATATAGGCGTAAGAAAAACACGTATCAGCTCTATTACGAAATGAAGTCCTTTACGCGGTAAACCATAACTTAATTAATGCAGGGCTGAGAGTCAACAAACTTGGAGGAAATATAGTTCAGATATCCGACTACAATAATAAAAAATAAAAAAACTGTCAGCTCTTCTTGTTTTTGTTTGCTCACGGTCAACAAAGTTGAAAAATTCCTAATTTTCAAGACCAAACCTACATAGCCCCCTAGACAGTTCCGAGTGCAATTGGTTGCCCTTAATTGACATTTTGCAGGAATTGTTGTAAGAGCATAACAAAATGTACATTTTGCAGACTTCACCTATTGGGTGGGTGGGTGAGTGGGCTACCTTTGGTGGTGCGCACTGATCCGGTAGGAGGGGAACGTCCTGTTGCCGCCCACCCAGTTAGCGCGCGGTATCGAAAGAGGGCGCCCTCGCATTACATTACCGTCAAAATGGCAGCCATGGACATGCCGTCTGTGCGGCCGGCTGCAATGTGATTTTAGTAATTTTGAGTATAGCAAAGCCATCGAATGTGGTGTAAATCCCTCTTATCTGCGCGAACTAAATACAGTGCAACTTAATCGATGCACAAAAGACATACGGAGCCATTTGCAGAAGTGGAAAGTCGCTGCATATGATGTGAATGTCGAGTGGAAACTGATCCTCCTGCGATGTGGTTTGTGCGACGTCGATGCATACACTGATAAGACAATACGTCCAGCGCATAGATACAAGTTAGGGTTGAGTTGGACATCATCAAGGAAATGTTGTCATCCACTCCATAAAGGGAAAGGCAAACCATTCCGTGGTGTGAATAAAACAACTAGCCGTGAGATCATAGATGTTTGATCGATGGGGTACCATGATCACTGTTGGAACAGGTAAGAAGACAGAAATCAAACAAAAATACATTTTTGAAAATTAAAATGAATTAATCATGGTCAAGGTCCATTTCTGATCAACTGACTTTGTTCCTGGGTAGGTTATATCAATTAAATCCCTTATCATGCAGTTGACTTGGGACCAGTGAAATTTATTATTGTGCGAAAAATTAATACTGGTTGTCACAGCTCTGGACCACACACATGGTTTTCGGCAGTGGACACACATGAATTTATTTTGTTTTATATAAAGAAAGTTAAAACTGCACTGAACATGCGCAGTTTGGGGAATAAAACATATATATTTTTTTTGCACTTACATTGTTTTTTTTTTTACTTTTATTCACGAGATGTGACTCATCAGACCATTTACAACTTAAAGAACAATTTCAGATTTGTTTCCCCTTTTATACAAATCCTCCAGAGCCAGCCACATCAGAAAAAGAAAAAGTAATAAGTGCAATTAAATACAGGCAATATAAAATAATAAAAGAAGATTTCTTATTTTTTATTTATTTATTATTTTTTTTTTTGGGGGGGGAATTTATGACATGGGTTTTGTTCAAGGCATCTATTGCTCAATATTGTTGGCTACATACGCCCCGCTTTATATCTTTTACTTTAAAAAAATATTAAGCCTGCTGCGGCCTTAACACTTTGTTAATTCTCACTGTTCATATAACTTTCAGGTATCTGTAGAGGTTGTCTATCTTAGCACAAACAAGCAGTTACGCACCAGACAGCGGAACAATTACCATCTAGCGATGTGCTCTCTAAGGAACAAGAAGAGCATCAGTGTACAATCAGTGATTTCACATCGCCGGCTGGTGTACCATCTCTCCAACCCACCGACACAGCGTGCACTTCAGTTCATGAGGTAAAGAGAGTGAACTAAGAATGGACCTTGACATATTGCATCTCATTTATCACAGATGAATTGTAAGCACTCTTCTTTGAGTACATCAATTTGTATTTCAACCCTATATGTAGCATGCATCTCACTGTTTTTATTTTCTTATGATTATTTCTAGCATACATCTGAGTCCTCATCAACTGATGGAGATATTACACAGGATGTAGGTGCACTTGACTCTTCTTGGGCTCCAACCCCCTGACCAAAGAATGTGGAGCTGCAATTCCTGAACACTTTCCTTACTCAGGGGGGAATGTCTGCTGTTGATGGGCAGCTTCATATGTCATTAGAATAAGCATCTGATAGCACCATCCATTATTATAGAAGGAAGGCAAAGGAAGCCTTTGGTTTAGTTGTTCATTGTTTAGCACCACGTCAAGAAGATGGGCTCATGAAGATTACAATCGGTGAAACAACTGCTTAATCATCACAAAGTGGTCAAAATTTTGATAGTAGTGCCCGTTTTCATTTTTTTTTATTGCATCCTTTTTTACCAACATTTTTGCATTAGTGGTTCCATGTTCTCTTCCTTTACGTATTTTGTGTTTAAACAAAGGGTTATCATGGTTTGTTATTTGAAGACAGTGACTGTTTTTGTTTTTTAATGTTAATTTAAGAAGGAAAACAATTTCTTGATTTATATTCTATTGTTTTTTCGAGTTTGATCGTTAGGTTGTTCCATGTGTCATTCTATTTTGATACTGTGTTGGTTCAGTTTTCTTCTTTCAACTTCCATTTAAGTTTAAAGTTCAATTTAGTTTTGTACAGTTGACTCTCGTTATAGCAAGGTCGGTGAGACTGCCCAAACTACCTCTTTAAACAGAAATGTTGCTTTAAAAGGACAGAGAAACAAAGAGACACAAAGAGAACTAGAGATTCGAGACCTCAGAATGTGCTCTATATAAGCAGCAGTAGGACATCTTTGTAAAAGTGTTCTTTATAACAAAAGTCGACTGTAGTACTACCATTTTACTTATTTGGTGGGGTGGATAACAGGTTTAAGGTTTGGATAAAAGTTAATTTGGATCCTTTTTGATTATTGGTTTTTTGAAAGGTTTTCTTCAAATTTTGGTTGGTAAAATAAATCATTCTTTTTTGGTCTTTCTAAAACTTTGTTTGTCATTGTTTCTATTTATTCAAATTCCTCTCTACTTGTTCCTACCCCATCTAGGTGTGTCTCATTTTTGACGAGTACCCCAACATTTAGCGTTTTTCTCATTCAATTTATTATTTTCCTAGTTTATTAATTTTCCGGGTTACATTAACATGCCAAAAAAATAACAGAATTGTCATCCAAGCCTCATCATTCCCACATTTGGTGCGCGATATGTGGCAGGGTGTAACCCCCCCCCCCCCCCACCACCCCCATTGTGTCTTCATTTTGTTCTGGTAATCTCGGGAATTCTTTAGATGATTATTGGGGGATACTTCTGTTAACAAAAAGACAAGTGTGTGTTGAGTATAGGAACATTTGTGGGGACTCCCTCTGCCACAAATCGGGCAGGGTATACATTCCATCCTGGACTCTGAAAGGTGGCGGCCATATTGATTTAAAGTGAAACCCCCTACCCTAAAAATGGGATAAATTAAGGAATTATAGCACCCCTTATGGCGTCTCCAGTATTAAAATATGTTTTAATTTTTTTGATCATGAATATATACACGTTTGCCAATTTTCATAACATTCAAGCAAAAAAGAAAAAAATGATGTGAAAAATACACTTTTTGACCAAAAAGGTGCCCAAAAAAAAGCCCTCTGTTAAAGATTTTTAAAAATATTTTTGACGTCATAATTTACAAATTGGAAATATAAAACTTGGTAGCAAATTTCATAAAAATTGGTTGTCGACTTTTGAAAATACAGAAAAGGGGGGGGGGGCACTGTATGCCCCTCCCCCGTCCCTTTACTAGCGAAAAATAGGGGTAAAACAGACTCCTGCCATTTTATACTAAAAACTGCTGACAATGTTTTTATTCTTGATACTTAAGGACCATGATAAGAACTCTCTTTCACCTGAGTGTCATTGTTCAAAGACCTGCACTAATGACGCTACGGCGACTTAAAGATCGCTATTTCTATGACTCAACTTTGGGGGTACCCTTAGTGCCGTTGCCTCCTAAGAGCAATTTTTTTCTAAATTTTGAGTACCTGGTTTTAGGTCAGGATACAACCTCAGGACCCTGCAAATTTCATTTCTCTGCTGCTTTCCCCTGTTGAGCAGCACGCGTTTAAACGTTTGTACCCCAAAATCATAAAAATCACCATTTTTCACTAATAAAAACACATTTTTGGCTCTTTTTTCTGCTACGGAGGTCAGATTGGCCAAATATTTTGTACAACCTCAAGGCTACCTATGACCCACCTACCCCCCAAATTTTAACCAAATCCGCCGACCCCCACCTTGTCACGGTCTGCATGGTCCTCTCGTGGACATACTCTTAAACAATCATAATTTTAATATCTAATCTTGCCTGTATGGCGAAATGTACAGTGTATGTAAACCTACATGTTCACATGTACCACGTTTAAGTAAAAAAGTCACTCAGTTAAGGCGGCCATTTTTTAAAACTTTGTCAAAACGGCCGCCATATGGGTCAAAATGGCCGGCATATTTTGTCATGGGACAAATCTGTGCTGACAAGTATATCTGGAGGTCTTTAATTAGGTGCAAAATGTCATGCTTTTATAATAATAATAATAATAATAACAGGTTCTTATATAGCGCTTTTAACTAAGATCAAAGCGCTTTACATTATTATTACCCCTAATCATTGGGCCAATTAAACATTCCATTTACCATCTCAGCTCCCTGGGGAGTATACAGCTCGATGCTGCCTGTTAGACGCAAGGAAGCTAATTCAATCACAATAACCATCACTGCCCTCATAGGTACCCATTTACTCCTGGGTGGAGAGAAGCAATGAGTGACAAAGTGCCTTGCTCAAGGGCACACGCACCATGACCCCGCCAGGACTCGAACCCACAACCTTTTATGGGAAAAAAAACATTTTATTCACACCTAATGCGCCAAATATATTGTAAATAACGAGCAAATGAAATGGCCGCCATTGTTGTCATACTAGGCCAAATCTGCGATGGCCCTATAGCCAAATATCTTTCTTAGGACATGCTCTGCATGACTGTGTGCCTAATTTTATCATGATCATCAAAAGCACGATTCCTGCACCTACATGTATGATAATGGCATGACGAGATCTTTTCAACGGTAATGTACACGCACCTTGGCGTCAAAGGTGAATCGAGAAACAGGGTAGTTATCAGGCCCATCGTAGGCGGCATAGTGTTTGCAGCCAGCGTTGGCCCGGACGTAGCGCGAGTCATTTCCTTGCAAGCCAGTCACATACGCTCTGGTCATCTCCCCGCTTAGAAACGGACCCTCACCGTATGTTTCCTATATAGTGTAATAAAAATGAGAAAAGCAAGATAAGTTGGATGTGTATACACTGCATGACTGTATGTGTTCGCAAGTTGATTGCAAGCTTACATGGTATAAACATGAAACTTTGAACAAAGATCAACCATACATGATCCCGAAGTGTTACTCCGCCGTCAAGATGATGTCAAGTATTAAATTGCAAGCGATTTTACATCAGAAAGTGACCACCTTGTTTCACTTATAACTCTTGAACAAAATGATCAATCATTTTCATACTTTGTAATCTGACTGACCATGACTTCATAAACTTTTCCTGTGTACGTAAAGTCGCTTGACCTTTCCATCTAGGGTTACAGGAAGGCCAAAGTTAGGTGAAATCAAAATGCACAGAAGCCTCAATTTAAGGGATTACGATACGATCTTGTACGAACTTGAATCCTGGTCCAAAGATATAAATATTTTGTAACGTCATCATGACATCATTACCTGTTTCAAATTACAAGCGATTTCACTCAATGTAGTGAAGGCCCTACCGGTACGTGTACATGCTTACTGAAATTTATCATGTACCCCAAAAGGTTTGTTTTTTTACTGTAAAGGCTGAAATTCGTGATCCTTTTTCTGTTCTGACATACATGTAAAAACACAACTTTACTGGTCCATAAAATAGTTGTACCGGTAACTCAACAAATGCTAAACCGGTAGCTCTAGTTATATGCTTAATAATACAGCCTGTCCTGATCTCTGAAATCATAGCCACCGCCAAAGTGATAGGGACGCTATCATTAAGATGAATAAAAAAGGAACTGGGCCTGGGAAATGTTGAATTCACCTAAGGCCCAAAAAAAAAAGTCTCCGGTTTCTGGTATGGAGGTTGCCCAAAAAGTGGTGCGGCGACGCGGCTTTTTTTTTTACCTGATTTTTTTGCTTCAAATGTCGGCTGATGACTGCAAATGGTGCCCGACTAAACTTACCGTAGTGCAAATATATGGGATTCCAGAGAGGCCACATGAAGCTTATCTCGACCATAACCCAATCTAAAAACACGTTAAAATTGTGCAGCAGCAGGATTCCAGTCAAACCAGTGAGTTTGGCGGTTTTGAGACATCATCTTTCATTGAAAAAAAAAATTGGGGACTCAGTCCCAAAACTTAAGGTATCCATATCGTGCAAAAGTTTGTGCTGCATAATAAAACCAGTGTGAATCAAATTTGCAAGCTTCTCACTGATCATTACAGTTTCCTCAATGTTCCCCAAATCTTCTGCCTCGCAAAGTTGCTGTTGTGAGCATTGCATCACCAAAAATTCAGCTTTTAATTATAATTTTGCAGAGAGTTATCGAAATCCAAACGTGAGACATCACGTTGATGTGTACTGCAATGCATTGTGCAAAAAGACTCCTCAGCTATAACATTTTCACCGTGTAGATAAAACAGCGCCCTCTTGTTGATCCGAGTGAATGCAGAATGTTTAATGGTTTAACAGGGGGCGCTAAGTTCTTTTGGCCATCGATTAAAAAACAAGTAAGCTGCAAGGCACTTCGTGCATCTACCCAGAATACCTTGTGAATCACATGCACGTTTCTAGATCGTGGAGAATGACGTGGATGGTTTCTGAACTGCCAAAGACTTGCCTTAAAATTGGATTTAAGGTCTCAAATTTCACTGGTGATGTGCTTGCAACTACATGTATAGCATTTTGATGTTTGTGTTGTGTGGGCATTAATATTTTATAATAAGCCGAATGGTGAGTAAAAAAACGTCAGTTTCTTGCTTCCGAGTGCCAAATTTGCCAACACTGGATTTGAGTTGTCAAGTTATTGAGAGCACCATCATGATCTTCGGCAGCTACACCATTCTTACACAAGTTACAGTGCTTGTTGGGATTCGGGGGCTGATTGCATATATTAGGTCAACAAGATGTTTGTAGCCAGGTTTTTTTTTCATCGGTTGGGAAAGGGGAGAGCTTGGGGGGGGGGCACAAGTATGATATGGGGGACACCAATGGCAGCCCCGCAAACAATTTCCACCAAATTTCCAGGCACCGACTGGCAACAGGGGTGTGAGTGACCACTGATAAAAATAGCTGAAAACAGCTGAAAAAAAGTGTACAAAAGCTGAACTTTGGAAATCTCCTATACTTTTATACACAGCAAGTGAGGGAAAAAGCTGAAAAAAAGCTGAAATCCAAAACAAAAAAAGCTGAAATCAGCTTTAAAGCTGAGATTTCACACCCCTGTGGCAAGGTAGGTGCTGGAAATTTGAAAATTAGAAAGGGGGGGGGGGGAGGTGGAATTGCTAGATGGTGATATGTTTTCATAAAATTGATAAATTCACACATAAAGCCGTAGGGTTCAAATATAAGGGGTTTAGAACCAAGCACCAAATAGTCATCTACATTCCTCTTGTGTTTAATTACTCATAAAAGATACTTTAAGTAGACACTTCCTTGGCAAGCGGCAAATTTTGTTGGTTTATTTGTCTGGAGGGCACGGGGGGGGGGGGGGGGGGGTCGCAAACTGGCAATTTGTGTGTGTGGGGGGGCATGTTCCTCCCAGGCACCCCCTCCCCCCTTGGCTACGCCCCTGTAATTGCCAAATGTGGCAGCAGCATTCTACAGTCTGCACATGTATGCAGATTGTTTCTGTTATAAAACGAGCGTAATTTCCAGTACTTCCAACATCTGGTAAAGTAGTATGATATTCTGGGGACTTCCTACCTGGTTGCGGCCCCACAGTGGATGCCTCATGATGTTGATGACAGGACTGAAGCAGCTCAGGCCACCTTTGCTTACATAGATGCCGTGCTGGGTCAGGTTGTTGTGCCTGGCTCGGACCTCAGAACCAATAGCTTCAGCAACTCTGTACAGCAGATCTGTGCTAAAAGGCAAATAAAAAAATGACATTGGTTCTTGGTTCTTGGTTGGTTCTTCTCCTAAATACTCCACGTGGGAGTTTATACAGGAGGCCAGAAACACCGGGGCAAACCCCTTCAGGCCAAAAAAAAAAATAAGTCGGTCTCTGGTTAGCGCGCGCGTCGATTTTAATCATGCGCGTCAACCATTTTTTTTTCCAAAATGTTCCGCGGTAGCTCCAACAGCGCCCTCTATTGCCGCACCTGCTCAATTTTTTTACCAACGAGCACCAAGGAATGGGAAATTGCACCAAGGCAAATGATCGAGAGCACCAAGGCAAATTATGGAGGACACCAATGTACATGAGGACACCAAAAAAGCAAAATAGTACCCCACCTTGTCTGTACAATCCAAGCTTGAAGAAAAAAAAAAAAAAAAACCGCGTCCCCGCAACAATTCCGGAACTTTGGTCTGACCAGAGACCGAATATTTTTTTTTTTTGGCCTAACAAAAATTGTTTATTTCTTTGTTTGTAATTATTTGGCAATTGGCCAGGATAGCCCACAAAAGTGTAGGCCTAAGAAGAAAGTGGCGTCAGGTTGCACTATTAATCTTTTCATGTTTTCCATGGCATGAGATAAATTTAACGACTATAGTACAATTACCTAAAAGTTGCAGCCAATCCAATAGACTGCGGGAATGATGTTGCATTGTAGACCAGATCTCCGTGTAGGCATTCGTCGTCCCAGATGAAAGGGTTGATGTTTAGGCGGGGGATCGGTGGCGCCGGGTCGTTCTTGAGGAAGCCGCCCCGCGCCATCTGAAGGGTCATTTCGTCCAGGGCCAATCGAGACATCAAGTCATCCAGTCGCTCATCCCAAGGGAGTGAATCGTCTTGGAACGGGAAAGTGGTCGTCACTACTCCCGGCAGGACGCTCACTTGCATAAAGACGATGTAAAATAGGCCCCCTAGTAGAAAATTGCAGGCTGTCGACATTGCGAATATTGTGAACACTAGAACATTAACAGGTTACGTTGTTGATGAATTGAGAAGTCTAACTGTGCATGGCGCACGCACGCACTCACTGCCACTGCTCGTGCGTGTGAATGGTCGGAGTGGGTGAAGAAAAATAAAAAAATATTGGAACAAAAGTCGAGTATTTACACAGTGCTGCCTGTCAGTTTTCACGCTTTGGTACAACTATAGAATGCAGGGCCACTTCACTCTACATCCGCGCCGCCGTACGGCTGCGTGGAGCCGTGGAGCCGCCGGCCGTCGAGTCGCTCGACCTACCTCCGAGAATTGCGCCCTCTGTCGGCGGCGCGCTTCTCTGCGGCGCGCGTCTCTGCGACTCCGCGACAGCCGCGTCTCCGGTCCGCGTCTCCCTGACTCTGCGTCTCCCTGACTCCGCGCCTCCGCGTCTACACAAAGAAATATCTTTATCTTATTCACGCATGACTGAATATCGTTGAAAATTACAGCAAACGTCAAGTCCATACCCAGACCAATGGACCGATCCAGTAAGCCCCGCCCAGTGCGCACGTGGGAAAATTAACACGTGCTCCTCTCCAATGCGCGTGTGCACGCATGTCGGACTTTTGTGCACGCATGTCGGACATAAATCACGGCTGTGATTGGTCAGAATACCATGGGGCGGTGCTTACTGGATCGGTCCATTGTTGCCCCGTCGCCCTCGTACCTTCCTTTGCGAGGAAATTAACAATGGATATGGATGCTCCGTTCTCTAAAAAATACCTCCGAGAATTGCGCCCTCTATCGGCGGCGCGCGTCTCTGCGGCGCGCGTCTCTGCGACTCCGCGACTCCGCGCCTAGCCTCCGCGTCTCCCTGACTCCCCGCCTCCCTGACTCCGCGACTCCGCGCCTCCGCGTCTCCGCGACTCCAGTGCCTCGTTGCCATCCTACCTTCCTTTGCGAGGAAATTAACAATGGATATGGATATGCTTCGTTCTCTAAAAAATACCGCCGAGAATTGTGCCCTCTATCGGCGGCGCGCGTCTCTACGACTCCGCGACTCCGCGCCTCCGCGTCTCCCTGACTGCGCGACTCCCTGGGCGTTTTCGAATCCCTGTTCTTGACAACACGCGTGTAACACGAGGACGTGTTCTCGAGCTGGTTGTTACGAACGCGCGGGTGCGTGTTGCATCGATATAAAGCAATGCAAAATGGCCGACAATCGTCTGAATTTGTACTTAGGCTATTCCAAATGAACGAGGACGACTTTTGCAAAACCGGACATGCGGGGATAAAATTGCAGACCTGCATTATAATGGTATTCTTATTCCAATCATTAGGGTATTAGCAAAAAAAAAACACAAACAACTTGAGAATCTGCACAGTCCGCCATTTTGTTCAAGCTGCACCTCGCGGAACCCTCCATCAACCGGGGAGTGAAAAAATCGATCAGCGAACGCCCTCTCGGGTCTGTTCGTTACGTTCGAGACCGCTGTTCTCGTGTCGGGTTCACCCGAGTGTGGTCATGAACAGGGAATCGAAAACGCCCCCTGACTCCGCGACTCCCTGACTCCGCGACTCCGCGCCTCCGCACCTCCGCGTCTACACAAAGAAATATCTTTATCTTATTCACGCATGACTGAATATCGTTGAAAATTACAGCAAACGTCACGTCAATACCCAGAACAATTGTTGGCTGAAAAAAAGGCCTTGTAACTTTACAATTTTCTGTGAGAGACAGGATCGAATCCAGAGGGACATTTTTTGTACTCACCCTATACAGTTGATTTGTAATTGTTGATGTTTAAGCAGCATGTGTTAATGCTGACAAGTTAAAAGTTTTGCATATGACAAGCTGATTTGAATTTTAGATTTTTGATGATGAACAATCTCCAGTGTGGTCCCGTCCATGTAAAGAACTCCAAATAACCATTTAAAAACTCTATGCAACAGGGCTCTGATCTGTAAGATGTTGTTGGAAACATCGTGGCAAGTACACTGATTAAAAAGTAAAATTGCTTGAATTTGTACACTTGGATGATTTAACACAGCTTAACATGGAAGAAGTTTGCGTTGAAAATGTCTTCAATGTAAAACATCATTTTGTGAGCCTTACATTTGGCTGGTCCTCAGCAAGAGTTCACTTTATAGCAGAAACATTTGAGTATTTTTTGTGGTAATCCATTGTGCCAAAATTGACACAGCCAAGGGAATCCAGCAGTTTTGTGGATAGATACATGTACTTTAATGTAATGTATTTGTGTTTTACATTGCTAGATGACGTTGATGGCATTTAATTGTTGATATTCAAACAGCAGCTTTTAATGCTGGTAGTTCGAGCGAGCACATCCTGAGAAAAATAAATATAACATGGTAAATGATTTGTTTGCTTTGATATGGTTCGCGAGTCTGTAGTATGATTGCTTTGGACTACCAGTACATGTGTAATGTTTGCATGATAGTCACAGAGATTGGTGCACAATATAATGGAAATTGTTCATTTTTATGATGAAGGCATGAAACTTGACACACATTCAGAGTATCATGGGAAAGATATTTGGCTATAGGTTTGTTGATATTCGAACAGCAGCTTTTAATGCTGGCAGTTCGAGCAAGCACATCCTGAGAAAAATAAATATAATCCGGGTTGACAATTTAATAACCAAATCTTAAAATTAATGTGGCCTGACGTTGCGAACTTAGCAAGTTCTTCTTCAGAGGCTAAAACAGCCTCTGAAGAAGAACTTGCTAAGTTCGCAACGTCAGGCCACATTAATTATAAGATTTATATATTTCAGGTCCATCCAGTCAGTAAGCAGTTTGCAGCAGTTTTACTTTTTTTCAATTTAATAACCATTTAAATACCTCTACATGTATGTAAGTTGGCTCTGATCTGTTACATGTAGATGTTGGAGATGTATTTTGACAAGTTAATTGCCAAAGGGAATGATGCCGTCACTATTGCAATGTATTTTTGAATGATTTAACAATTGAATGTTAATGCCATTTGTAAGGCAAGGCAGGGCAAATTTCATTCCAACAAACACACCTTTATGTAATTGCCCTGCATTGTTTCGTTATTATTCTAATTTGCTCAGACTTAGGCAGTACTCATAGTCACTGAAAATATTTGATGAACACTATCACAATTCATGCATGACTCAGGAGGCTGCAGTCTTGAAGACTATTTTATGTGCAATATTTTGTTATTTGAATTGGTGGTGAATGTTTGTAGCACTGAAATATTGGCAAATCTATTTTTTTTCCTTGCCAAAATGTTGTCATCTTGCCACAACATGACATATCTATATTATATACAGTAGCCTCTTTTTCTTTTCTTTTTTAAATTAACATGGTAAATGATTTGTTTGCTTTTATATGGTTCGCGAGTCTGTAGTATGATTGCTTTGGACTACTGTTTGCATGAAAGTCACGGAGATTGGTGCACAATATAATGGAAATTGTTCACTTTTATGATGAAGGCATGAAACTTGGCACACATTCAGAGTATCATGGGAAAAATATTTGGCTATAGGGCCATCGCATATTTGTTCTTTGAAAAAATATAGCTAGAATAAAAAGCAAAGGTAGCCATTTTGAAAATTGCTTGTTATCCTATATACATTTTTTCAAAGTACAAATCTGCGATGGCTCTATAGCCAAATATCTCTCCCATGAAATAGATGTACTCTGACTGGGTGCCAAATTCCATGTCTTTATCATAAAAGTGAACAATTCCATCACAAATCTGCCGTACTATGAAAGACATGGTCAGCTTCTCATAATGCTTTGGTCACTTTCTCAAAGTCGTGAAGGGTTCGTACTTGGAAAGTGTGAATTGGTACGATAGGCAGACATGACTCTAGGCAATTTCCATTGGATGTAAAATAAGAATTGGACGGCGTTAAAAAGGATTCTTTTTAATAATGTTGCGAGAATTTCATTAAATTGGAGCAGTATTTATTTTGTATTCATTTATTTGATTCATTTTATTTACAAGGGTAGCCCCACCAGTTAAAAGGAAATCTCACTGGGCCATGAAATGCATAAAAAAAGTCATGTTTAAGCATGCAATGAAGGATAACTTGACTTTTTAAACAAGTTAAAAGAACTGACAAGAAGCTAAAAGAAATGTTTGTGCTTTTTTAGAAGATGATGAAAATGTCTGAATTTAATTTAAAGCAAGTAATTGCAATCCAAATGGTTTCAAACACTTCAATTCGTGGAAATTCAGATGACAATATGTTCTTGAAAACATTTTAGTGTTGATATGGAATTTAAAAGGCAATTACCATCCCCACCATAAATACACAACACAAAGACCAGCCGCTCCACAAAATTGAAACATGCTGACAAGTTGGCATGAATCCAAAAACACACCGGACCTTAACCTCTACCATTTTGACAAAGTTTTGAGTGTGGTGACATTGGGATTTCGGTGAACGTGGCTATTTGTCGGTGTACGCGTTACTGAATTTCCAATGTGTACTTCTGAAACAGTGAGTAAAACCATGAGAACTGTTATTCATTTACTAGACATACTTTTAATCCTTTGAAATAATATTTGTTTGCATAGTGCTTACGTTTGTCTTCGCAATGTTGATCGCATGGAAGTCCTCAGAAATATGGTAATAAATGCCTTGTGTTAGTCCTCGGTCGAACTGCTTTTATTGTGCAGCTATTGAACACGTATACTATCCTCACAAATATAGCAGTTCTTGAAAATATCCTCGGTTGTATAGTTCAATTCAAGTCGATGAAAAAATAAAATTCTTAAACGGCAATTAAAAAAAAAACGATGTTAAGTTCAATTTCTCAGTAGATATGCTATATTGTTCAAATAAAACGCCCTCAAGGGCATGTCCTCAAACAGAAGTATATTTCCAGTGTCCTCGCAGATAATTGCGAAACGCGTATGTGTGTTCACACATACTGCACAATGGCGAGTGGTTCTCGAAAAAGCTGCAAAAAGTAGCGCAGATATTCACCCCTACTGGACAATGGTATCGCCCGGCAGTAAGGTTGCTCAGTCAGTCGACCGCCTACAATGGTCGCTCAGTCGACTGCAATAATAATGTGCCCGCGCAGCCACCACGGACGTGTACATACGGAAACATGGTACGCAGTGCTATTCAGCCATGCTGGCCTATAGTATCTCCCTACAATGCACGTGCCCGTCCTTTTTGCATTGTTTGCGTCATATTGAGCGCGCGCGCTTAAGCTCGAGCATGACGTAAACAATTGAAAAGAACATCATTGCGTGGTGGTCTAGGCTATATACTG